AGAAATTTCCATCCCAAGTCCAACATTCAAAGACTATATACGAGCCGGAAAGAAGGAAGGTGGTGCTACGTGTGAAAGCCACTAATTCAAGAAGAAGGAATATAAGAATTTAGAAAAATACCAAAGGCTGAAAGAGGAACTAGAGAAGATGTGGAAAGTAAAGGTCAAAATAATTCCAGTGATAATTGGAAATGAGGTCTCTAAACTGGAAAAGTAGCTTCAGCAGATTCCAGGAACAACATCAGAGATCTCTATCCCGGAAGAGCGCACTATCAGGAACAGTTAAGATACTGCGCAGAACCCTCAATCCCCCAGGCCTCTGGTAGAGGGTCCGAGATTGAGGATGACCACGCCCACGGAAGTGAGAAAAAAGTTTTATACATATATATAATTTAATTTATTTTTATTTTTTGCTTTGAAAATTTAAAAAAAATTTAAAGAAACTTTGCTTAATAGCAATTATTAAAATTCCGGAAATAGTGATTAATATATAAGAGAACAGCAGAGCCGAAACGATAACCCTAAACGATGGAAAGGTTATTGCAACGTGCTCGAGCTGATACCCTTAATTTATAGCTCCTAACCTCCTTTCTTTAAATTTTCTGTCTTGCAATGATTGATTTATTTCGGCAATTTTTGCTGCGTTCATTTTTTAATGATTCTATTCTATTATGCTTTGCTTAGAATCGCTTTGGTTTTCTACGCAAAGGATTTTGTGCTTTTGAGATTTTAGGTTTTTCGGAATGTCTTTTGGATATTTATAACCTTTTAACATTGTCAACTGAAATCCCGAAATTTTTATAAAAATGCGAAATAAATTTCGCGCGATTGCTGCTCAAAAACATCTAAAAAACGATGGTTAAGACGTGGACAATGGCAGTGAAAATTTCTATCATTAGGTGATGAAAACTGGAAAAGTTTCTTTGGGATGGAAAATTAGAATTGGTTCTGAATTCAGATATAATTCATTTGCAGTGATGAAATCGCTGTAATTAAAAAGCGGTGATGGAAGATTTATTGCTGTGTGAAGGCGGATCGGAAGCTGAATTAGCCACTGTCAGCTCAGCTGGCGAGGATTCGAGCAACGCGAACCAGCAATCTTTTATCGACGAGTCGTTGACGGAAGTGAATTTACCATCGACGAGTGAGATTAATGCTGAGAGTAATAATTTTGTAGGTTTTTCTTTTTTGAGGCCAACGCCGCGATTTGTTGTTGTGTTGTATGAGAACATTTTTCGTTATTCAATTATCTGCTGATATATTCCGAAAATTCTTTAATTTTCGCTTCTCATCCTTGCAATGGGCATCCTTGCATCTTCTCTCTTCTCACCTATAAATTAATTTCTAGCATTTCGTTTTGTCCGTTCTTCCGCACCTAAGTGATTTTATGATTTCTTTTTGCCTCCTCCCTTTTCGTCGTTTTACTATTTTTTTCACCCCTATTATTATAGCGCACAACCGAAAAATGCCAATTTTTATTAAATATTTTTTAATTTAGGCGTCAAAAAATCTAAATTCGGATGCTTTCTCGCAATTATCGTTGCTTTATGAAAAATTTAATATGCAGTGTAGTGAAATTGACAGGTGAGTTTGGTCACTTGTTAATTTTTTGGGTACGTCGAGAATATATAATTTAATTTGCTCAGACTGCGACAGGAAAGTTGGGAAAAGTTGCTAATTTGCTAATTTTTATTTGCTTAGTAATCAGTTCATCAAGGGTATTTTTTAAAAAAAATATTGAAAGGAAGAAAGTAGGAATCAGGAAAAAAAATTGAGAATCGGAATTTTCTTTGTCAAATATCTCTGGAGAATATTTTAAATTTAGTGATTTATTTAGCCAACAAATTTGCAAGTTCATTGGTAATTTTTTTCAGGCTTGAAAAACAAAATAGTGAATATAGAGAACATTTACTCAAAAGTATCAAAGAAAAGGAGCAAGCTGATGAAAAACTTCGCACAAACCAACGGTAAATGATCAAAATTTGTTTTATTTTTATCAACTTTATCAAGTTTAGCTCAACTTAATTTGGTTAATTCAATCAATTTTTTTCATTTTTCATCGATATTTTTTTCTTTTAAGTTAATTTATTTTTCAGTATTTCTAATTTGTTATCTGTTTCAAATTATGCTATGGATATGTTTTCAGTTTTATTCTGCAAATCTCATTTTTATTTATAATTTTTTTGAATTTTTTTGATTATTTTAATGATTTGATGAAGTTTAAGTGAGAGTAGCGCTAAATTTGAAGAACTGGAGCGAAAGCTTCTGGAATTCGAATACCAGCTTAAAGCATGTAAGGATCGTTCTTCAGCTAGGGAAACTTATCATAATCAGTATATAAGTGATATGTCAGCGAAAATGAACGATAACATAGCTCAGGTATGAATAATTTGTACGGTGTGGATTTTTTAACGAAATTTGGGATGATTTCATCTTTTTTTTATCATTTTCATATTCTTTATATACAAATATTTTGTTGCAAATATTTTTTCGAATTCTTTCAGTTCCAAAAAAAACTAGAACAAGCTGAGAAGGAAAAGAATAATGCAGTCATCAAGTATGCTACAAGGGAAGCGGAAATTTTACGTCTAAGAAATGACTGTGAAAAGTTGAAGGGAAAGGTTCTTTATTTTTATTTTTATGTTTATATATTATATAAAAAATATATATTTATTAACATTTAATATTTATTTGTATTATTATAACTGATCTTTTGTTTAATAAAAAATATTTGGCAATTTCAGATAACACAGTTAGAATTGCAAATAGAAATGTTGAGGAACAGTAACGATTACGGTAATGTGGAACGTCTAGTTAGTTAATATATTTATTGTTCAGTTAAATTTAAGCTTGATTATTTTGCTTTCATTTGTTTGAATTGTTAAAATTAATGGCTTGCTTCGCTCATAAATTGCTCTTTCTTGAAATTTTATTTTCTCAATTGAAACATCGAGAGAATCAGATTCTTCAATAAAAAGTGTATCTTTTAAAATTTTTCATTTTGATTTTATAGGAAAAAGTAAATGTCGAAATTTTTCGAAATTTTCTTTCTATAATATTTTCAGCTGACAAGTTTTACAGGAATTATCTGTAAAAGAATATGCAAATCATCTAGAAGAAGAAAAAAAAGCTAAAGCCAGTGCTGAAGCAGAATTGAATCTTGCGCTGAAACGAATAGAGGTTTATATTACTCTATTGCATTCTTTTTATGAAAAACATTTTTATCTGAATAATTATAAAAATATTTTTAATTCTTTTTGATTAGCTAATACAAAAGTTATCAGTTGTATTTTATTAATGTATCTAATTAAGTCAATTCGGTGAATGTTCTATAATAATAATATATACGAAACATATACTAATATTTCTCGAGCTTATATTAAGACTGGTCAAATAACCATCAGTGAATTGCGATCGACGGTGGAAAAATTGAAGAAACAAATTTCCGAAGAAATTTCTGAAAAGATAGTCATCAGAGACGATCATAAGAAATTGATAATGCAGTTGCATGTTAGCTTATTTTCTTTCATTCATTCTTTTTTTTTTCTCTTATTTATGCGGTTTTCGAATTTCTTTTCGAATTTCTTGTTTGATTTCTTAGTTCGTTTTTAAATTCTGTCTTGTTCTAATTTTTTATTTAGAACGTGATTTTATATTAGCAACATCGGACAATTGAATGTCAATCAGTAAGTATATCAATAAAGTATGATTAGTCAATATTAAACAAATGATAAATGATAAGTGACTGGCAATATTGGATAATAGATAATCAGGAATTATCATTTTTAGACTCTCAATTTTAGACTCTGGAGAAACAGAAGGAAGAAGTTGAAGGTTCTGCAAAAAAAATTAATGATAATAAAGAAGAACTTTACAGAAATGTTCTAGAGGAGTTATCTCGATTGCGGTTCTTTTTTAAAAAAGTTTTTAAGTTTTAAAATGTTCAATAAAAATTAAAATGGATTTTATGCGAAATAATATGGGCACATATAGGTTTATCAGTTACCAATTATTTTTAAATATTGTTTGTTCAGGGAGCGTAATGCAACGTTAACATCACAAATGGAATCTCAAATTCGAGAGAACGCTAAACTTATTAATGAATATCAAAATAGTACTGATGAATTAAATTGTTTAAAAGTGGCTCGCCAGAATGATCTCGAAAAATTACAGGTTCTTGAAGGAGTGGAAAGCAAAGTTTTGAGGTTATTTAGCTTAATTTATAAAAAAAATATGAGTTCTATTAAAGTTCGTTACAATTAGTTTTTTGAGGTTATTTAGCTTATTTAATAAAAAAGAGTGTAATTAAGGCTTGCTATAACGTCAGTTAATTTTAAGTTATGTCAAACGCGTAGAAAAAGCTGAAAAATTGGCTGGCGATGCAATATTAGAGAAAGAACAAGCAGAACAAGAAGCCAATGAATGTAGGAAGCAAGCTGAAAGAATGCTAGAAATAACTCAGCAGCTCAGTGAGAAAAATTCGTTTCTGTCTTCCCAGTGTGAAGTTTTTCGATCTCAGGTTCGTGTTTTGTTTTATGATTCTTTTGTTCCTTTTTATTTTATTTAATCTTATATTATTTTAGATTTTCGAATTAAACAAAAATCTTCTTGAAATACAAGCCAATTTGAGACAAAAATCTAATAAATTGGAGGAAGTTGAAAGAGAATTAGAATTGCAGCATGCTTCATTTTCTGCTGAAATTACATCTTTAAGGTCAATGCTTGATGAAAAAATCGTTAAAGGTAAGGTAAAGTGATTGGTTTTTTTTAAAGATATTCATTTAGGATATTGGGGATTTTTTGGCCCGTTAGGGAGAATAGATGTGGACATGGAAGCAATATGATAGGGTTCCAATGGGTATTAATGGAATATAACATGTTATTTGTCTTAAAATTTATTCTAGTTTAAAGACATTTGTACTTTGTGCTCTACGTATTACGAGTTGGTAACACATTTGTTTCTTTAAGTTTTTTTGTTTCTTTAAGCGAAGATAATATAAATATTTTATTATAATATTTTATTTCAAGAGTATTTATTTTATCTTATTTCAGTACAAGAGTTGACTCGAGAACTTGATGAAACTCGGAATGAGAAAGAAGTCATAAAAAGAAAGAATACCTCAGCTTTGAAAGTATTTATAGTGCAGTATTTATAGTTGTTGTTTTTTTCTTTATATATAGATATTCTGATAATTTATAATAATTTCAAATAATTTATCTTCCAGGAGTTACGTGCCGAATTACAATATCTGCGAAAACTTCAGGCTGAAAATGCTCAGCGAAAACCCATTGATAATGAATCTGAGATGACTTTATCTGTGTCTGCAAATGGTATCATTAGTTTCCATTTAATTTGAATTTTTTTGAATTTTAAAATTTAAAATTTTAAAACTAACTAAACTAATTAATTAGTAATTAATAATAGTAATTAATTATTTCCTTACTAATTAATCATAGCTAATTTTTTGTTAGATCATTTATTTATTAATTTATTGGTTAATTATCAATGATTGCATTATCGAAATGCTCTATATTTTTAATTTTTTAATTAACATAATTTTTGCAGGTGAAATTCATTCATCGAGAGCATCATCGATTTCATCGGCAGACATAGGTAATAGACCTCCTGCTCATTCTTCTCTTGAGGATTGTTCTAGTAACATACAGCAGCAAATGATTGAAAAGATTGTGCAACTTCAGCGACAGCTTGCCAGAAAGCAAAATAAAATTGATTTTTTAGAGGAACATGTTCGACAGTGTACTGAAGAACTTCGCAAGAAAACAAAGTTTGTTTCCTTCTTCTAACGACACGCTAAGTTTCTGGTTTATGAAAAAGTCGTTAGGGAGCAAAAGTACTAATGCTCAAGCCATTTGAGTTTTATTTAGGTAAAATTGGAATTTTTTTTCTTTTAGAGAAGTAGGGTTAAATATCACTTATTACTTCTACTACTTAAAAAGAGAATGAGATGGCCATCCGCATGTTCATATAAAAAATAGTAGCCAAGATGCTTCTGTATTAAATTACTTCAAGTTTTAATGCATCGGAATCTTTTAATTTATGATTATTATGAGTCTCATGATTATTCTACCAATTTTAATTTTTAATATCTTTACCATATTTTTTTTTTCTTTTGGAAAAATTGTCACTTATATTTTGTTACAATATTTTATTTTAAAAATTATTACAGTATTTTCTCCAAAATCTCAGCTAGAACCAGCTATCTTTTAAACTCACTCTTTTATAAATGGTAAAGTTTTAAGAATCCTTTTCTCCTCTTATTGAAAATTTCTCCATTTTTTATTTATTTATCTATTTTTTTTCATTTTTATATTTAAATATTTGTGTTTTTATTTTTAAATACTTTTTATTTATATTTTTAAGAAGGAGTCAATTTTCAGTTTATTTTTATCTATTTAGAATTATTCAAAATTACGCATTACGTGAAGAAGCATCGCTTTTATTACCCGAAGATGATTTAACCAAGGTATATTATTTTTGCTAAGTAAATTATTTTCAGCGTCTCTTTCTGATTATTTAAAACTTTTATAATACGCTATATCTTATAATATTAGAATTTTTATTCATACATTATATTTTATATGGTTTTTTCTTTTCTTTTTTTTTAACTTTTTTCAAGAAACCTTTTTTTCTGCCAATGTAATCCTTTTGTTTCCTACAGCTGCTTGAAATTTGTGACTTCATGGAAGTAAGTTACTTGATTTATTTTCTATTATTGGTAGGCATTCTGTATATTGTTTGTTTTCTATTTCTATCCTTCCTTCGATTTTTTAATTTAATATTTTATTTTAATAATATCTTCGATTCGCCGCAACAATTTCAAAATTTCTTTCAGATTTTTTGTTACATTTGAATGAATTATGTTTTTACAGAATTTTTTTCGGAATTTCATCGATAGTTTTTATTCCGCAGGTACCAATGAAAAAAAATGGCGGTATTCCACTGTTCGGAAATATTTTTGCTAATGCCGATAGAAAATCTGAACTTGAATTGGCGATCGAGTTAAATTCAAGGCTTCAGGCAGTATTAGAAGATATACTTCACAAAAATATAACGCTAAAAGTGAGCTTAGTCTTGCTAACACATGAAAAATTTCAAACTATTTTATATTATATTATTATTCATAATTTATATTTATTTATTATTATTTGTTATTTATTTATATTATTTTATATTTTATATTTATATTATTGTTTATATTATTTTATTAATATTTTATATATTAATATATTAATATATAAATACAAATATACTTTCATTTTGAAAAGAAAAATATTGATTTCCCTAAGGTAATTTTACAACATAATTGATAAAATACTTGGATATTCGAATTTTTCGATATATAATTGCTTTATATTATGGGCTCATTATATCTGTTATGCTTATACTCTTCGTTTAAAATGTTGCCTTTTAAAAGATTGCTCTTTCCATATTTTACTAGATTATTGTTTAAAGAATCACTAACCAAACTTTGTTCAGAACAATATCGATACACTTGGTGAAGAAATATCACGTTTGTCGAGAGAAAATAGGCAATTGGCTCTTGCAAATGCTTCATGATTGATAAAAATTTTTGAAATGCCATGATTTTCTCATTTCTTCGCTATGGGTTTATCTTAAATCTGTGATCCTTTCAATTTTTTATTTTATTAAATTGGATTTGATGGCATTTTTTTCACTTTTTATTTTTAGTTTAAATTTATTATTTCTCATTACAGTAGTTCAGTTCATCAATTCATCTGTTTTAAAGTTAAATTTTATTTTTACTTTTACTTTTATGTTGGGAAATGGAATAAAATATATAAAATAATATTCCATTAATCGTCTTTCAATATTTATTAGTATTATTGCATAAATTTTTTTTTAAAATTTATTATTGCTATTTTCGATCTATTGGTGTATTTTTCCCATTATTCATTTCAATAAAAGATTTTAAATTTGTATTTCTAGAACATTTAAAAAAATTCCCATTAAAATTAATCAAATTTCCAAAACAATTTGTGGATTTCATGAATTTTTTTCATCAGAAATATTCTTAAAAGTTCAAATGAATTATTAAAATTTATAGTCGTAGTCATTTTAATTTATAATTTATTTAAAATTAATTTTCCCATTAGTAAATTAATGCACTAAAAAATTATATGTTAAATAATGTGAATTCAAAGATTAATGCAAAGAGCAATTCAGTATAAAATTTCTCGGGAAAAGGCTGTAAATTGTGTACCATAAAAACTTCGAATAAACAATTTACCGAAATAAAAATACTAATTTCAAAAAGTATAATTAGATAATTATAATAAGTGTAATTGGTGCTGGTTAAATAAAAGCGATGATTTTAATTCGATTACTGCCTCTACATGCTCAAACCCGTCATTAAAGGTGAGACAGATGGCATTTGCCGTCGATTCGTTCTCTAGCCTCTGCCACCTTATTCTAGTAGTTAATAGTTTTAATGCAGTGTGGAGGCTGCCAAATGGGAAATGGTACGCGTTATTTGAAGATGATTCACTCTAAACAGTATGAATTTTTTGCTTTCATTTTTGCGAATGTTTAACTTTCAATAATTTTCAGTTAAGCGTTCCTGCTGGCCATTAGATTAATAACTTTTTTAGAAGCGTTCAGTTAGAAAAATTTGCCAACTTTTTAATGTTTTCATAATTTTTCATGCCTTTCGTTCGATAAAATATTGGAAATGAAGTCAACAAATGGTACTTTCCTGAATTATATTAAATGTAACGAAAATATTATTTCTTTAAACAATTTAAAAAAGAAATTTGCAATGCAGTCTCTTGGGGAAACTTAGAAATATTTCGATCACAGCATATGCTCGATTTATTTCGCGTCTTTTTCTTTGCGCATGGATGGTTGCAATAATTCTTCAATATTCACTATATCCTGCATGAACTGCAGTTATCGTAAAGCCATAGTAAAGCTTCTTTATTCGCAAAAAACGAGTTCATACAGTTCATATTAGTTCATATTCATAAGGCTACAGTAATAGTGGTAAATTTCCATTTTTAAATTGAACCAAATTGGCGAAGATAATTGAATTTCAATTTTTCCGAAATTTTTTCCTCAACTTAAAATTTTAAATAAATTTTAAGAGTTTATCAGCAATTTTTCGAATTGATATGTTTTAGAAAAATTTGAAATTTTCAAAAAATGAAAATGAAATTTTTTAATGATAATAAAAATAGATGAAAAATTATGCTTGTTTTGCGTTGAAAAATTGATTTATTTTTAACATTTATTTTTACTTATGAATATTTTTTATTGTTTATTATAATCGTTGTAATTTATAGTAATTATTTTACGAATGAAAGAGGAGTGTGATTGCTAATTCATAATTTAAATATCAATCATTTATGAAGTTTTTTTTAAATAAATTTGGGAAACCACTTATCTTCCGTTCTTTTTCGACTAATTTTAATTTATTTTTCTAAAATTGTTTTATACATTATTATTTTTTGCATAATTTTTTTAAAAATACATAAATTTATCGATATTCATGAAATAAATGCATCTGTTTTAAAAGAGTCGCTTTAAATTATGAATTATTTAAGATTAATAGCACTTATATTGTTGAATATTTGCATCAAAGCCTTTTCCATATCGAACATTTCCATGAGTTTGTTGACATTCATTCCTAAGACTTAATAACATTTATGTTTATTTATCTATTCGTCTATAAAAGATATTTCGACAAAATCATTCGCAGAAATAATCATGGATATCTTTAAATTTATTAAAATTTAATAAAAACAAAAATTTAGTAAAAACAAAAATTTAGTAAAAAACAAAAAGCAGGATAATAGATTTTTTTGGGGTTATTTTTGATAAAATTTGATAAATAAAATTTTCTGGAAATGCTGTATTATGGAGAAGAAAAGATGCGAATCATTGTTTTTATTTATTTCAACGTTAACACAAATTATCCAAATTCATCTAAATGTTAATAACGAATTTGCTTATTAATAAGCGATATTATGGATCTTCCGATGCCATTTTACGTTATTAATATCGCTTATGTTGCTAAATGCTCATTTCGTGATAAATATTTTGATGAAATGATGAAATGACGCAGATTGTCGCAATATTTTCGTGGGCAAGTGGATAAGTAGAATTATAAAATGAATTCAATTAATAAAATTTTCTTAAATTTCCGTCTCCATTGTCCATTGTCCATATATATGTACATAAGGGACCAAATTTGAGTAGAAACCCAGTGCCGGCGCTACGATAAAAGAATAATACTCACTGAGCCATTCTACCTTTTGTTGTAGTTCCAACTAAAGTTCTTCAAAATCTATTTTTGCAATGTGAAATTTCCAAATGCTGTAGGAAAAATTTGTCTTTTTTAGGATGGTATTGAATCTGAATTGCGATATCTTCGTTGGCTTCTTATAAATTTTACCGTCCGCTTTTTTTTACGCCTATTGAAACATAATTGGAGTTTCTAAATTATTCCACATAATCATCTTAATTCTATGGTAAAAAAATTCTTAGCTAATGGATTTTTTCGATTATCTTTCAGATTTATCTCACATTTATTTTGAAAATTTCCATGGAATTTTTAAAAATGTCAAAGATACTCATCTAAAAGAAATTTGTTAAAATAATTTTTAAATAATTCAGTGATTTGCTCAATGTTAAGAAACTTATTTCTTACAGTAATAGTATAATATAATTTCATTTAACCAATTTTTTCTTCTTTATAATTTCTTTACCTCTGAATTATTTTAATTATTTATTAAATCATTTTTTGTATATTTGCGATTATTTTCATTCTTTTTTTTGAACAGTCAGGAATAATTGCTGTGTACTTCTCCAAGATTTACTAGAAATTACCGTAGTGATTATGAAATCATTAATTCTTTCCTTGCAGTTGAGATTTTATATTTTGTCTAACTAATTTTATTGATCAAAAAGTTAATTTCCTGAGGAAACGCCATGTTATGCCTCATAGAACAATATATTCCTTTAAGAAAAGGAAGCATTAATTTAATTCCCTTTTTTCTTAAAATTTCTTAAAAAATGTAAAAAAGCTCTATAATAAATTAACCAAACTGCCATATGATTTACTTATAAAGGATGCTTAAAAAATTTCTATTATGCTATTCAGAAATATTTTTCAAATAAAGAAGAGCAACTTTAAATAGGAGATTCTTATTGGAACCGTATTGAAAAAAAAATTCGCATGTCCACGAAAATAAATAATCTGCAGCTTAATGATAATGTGATATAATGATAATCACTTCCCATATTGATATTACAAGTGTATTTAATCAATGCCTTTCTAGTATTTTATTTTGAACGGTAATATTAATAGCACCTTTTTTAGTGAAAATCGAAGTTGATGTGATTCCCTCAATGAGATTGATGTAACTCTATTGGATGTTTATGACGATAAACTCAAATCAGCCATTCCAGCTGGTCTGGGTAATATTCCACAAATATTCTATAAAAAAAGCAGTCTTCCTAAGTCTCCCTCTCTAAGGATGTTTTTAGATAACAAAGGATATTATGAAGAATGGTCTAAATCCAAGAATTTGAAAATCGTTCCACATAACTTCTATTCATAACAAAGGAAACATCTCTTTCCAACTACAGGCCTATTAGCATAACAGTCTAAGACTACAAAGACTAATTTGCCATAAGTTGCTTAGCCGTCTTGATGCCAATAATTTAATATCATCCCATCAACATAGCTTTCGCTCGAAAAAACCTTTTAGTTTAAATTTCGACAAAATCTAATGGGCTAAAATTATTAAATGCAAAACTAAGGGCACATAATTTTTTATTTGCAATATTAATTACAGGAATAAACTGCTATATGTTTGATGTAGTTTGTCCTTAGTAATTTTTAAAAAACGGTTAAATAAAATCATCCATGACATTCACATAATGTAGGTGGTTTAAAATTCTTATCTTTTATCCCTTATCTCTTATCTAATTTTATTCAGTTCGATTTGTGGCATTATGTTATTCCCGTTTAATTGTGTTATTTGCATTGTAAACTTTTGGTTCTTTTGTGTCTCTTATATATCACTCAACAAGCTTATCGACCTGCTTGGTTGCTTGGATAAACATTGGTAATTTGAAAATTTCTTGAAATATTGAGAGGCGTTTCTCACCAAAACAATGTGAAATTACTGTCCAAAATGTTTTCTTATAATAATAATTCTTTAAAAAATTATTGAAAACAAATAATTAAAACCATATTTTTCAACTTATTTCTTTTGTACGATATTCATAAAATTTAAATTTAATTTCAACGGTAAATCCAACTCTACTTAATTTTTTTTTTATGAATTTTCATCATTACTGGTTAGACTTGCACCGCTAGCTTGTCGCATTGGACAAATATGCCAGAGAGTCCCTTGACGATAGAAATGTAAATGATCCAGCATCACCCGGATTTTCGTGCAGGTTTATTTCTGCTGGGAATAGAACCTTAGTATTGGCGCTCCAAAAACCCATTAAGCTATTCTATCCTCACTCCGCTTAATTAGTAAATGGAATTTAATAAACTAAAAAGGAAATTTGTTTTTTTCATTACA